ATATGCATGCAGGTAAAACACATAAAATAAATAAATCTTACTGGGCAGTGGTGGAACGGAACACACCTTGAATCCTAGCACTCAGGAGGCAGAGGCAGGAGGATCTCTGTGAGTTCATGGCCAGCCTGGTCTACAGAGCTAGTTCCAGGACAGCCAGGGCTGTTACGCAGAGAAACACTGTTTTGGAAAAAAACAAAACAAAACAAAACAAAATCTTTAAAGATTCATACAAACAACAAATTGACCAAGTAAGGGGATTGGTGACACAGCTCAGCCAGTAAAGACCAGACTCCCACAAGTTTTCCTCCCACAAAATTTTCACATGAGCTGAGACTAGAACACATAAACACACACTAAGCAAAATGTAACACTTTAAAAAACTACCAAATAAGTACATATCCAGCTATCATAATTTTTAAACACACTTTTTATTCTAGAATAACTTTAAATATACAAAAAGCTACAAAGGCAGTAGACTTTCTGTGCACACCACAACCAACTTCCCCATGAAGGACCCTGACCATGCCAGAACCAGGAAAGTTCAGCAGGCGTCACCATAACTGCCCCTCCAGCCATGCTGTCTATACTCCCGATCTCACCATGCATCATCTTGGTCTCAGCCTGGAGTTCAGATCTCTGCAATGTCCCTCATTTTCTTTGTTCCTCACTACTCCATAACAGAGAATGGGATTTCTAGAGACCCCGGAGCCCATGCATCCAGAAAGTTAAAGGTCACTTGTGTCTGTTAGAACGCTCTGCTGAGAGCTGTTCTATCCTGTCTTGAGTATCTGAGTGAGCCTCCGTGCTGGCCCTAAAGGGAGGCAGTGTACTAGAGCCCTCTCTATGGAGGGTAGCTACCACATTACTGCAGAGAAGAGATGTTCTAGATCCAGAGGAAAGATTGTCTCCTGAGCCACTTATTCAATTAGAACAACTCTTATGGATGGTTTTGACTTCACAATTCTTATTACATTCTTATGTATCTGTGTGTATATGAAGAGGTCAGAGGACAACTTGCAAAAGTTGGTTCTCTCCTTTCACCTTGTGGGTCCTGGGACTCAATCTTAGGTCATCAGGCTTGGTAACAAGTGCCTTCACCCACTGAACCATGTCCATGGCCTCAGTTTTAAAAGCATTTTTCTTTTAACATCTGTTTATTGTGTGTGTCTTCCGGTGTGCATGTCATGGCATTTGTGTGTCAGTCTGTTGACAACGTGAGGGAGTCGGCTCTCTCCTACCATGTGCATTTCAGGGATCAAAGTCAGCTTGTCAGGCTTGGCAGCAAGCACCTTCACTCACTGAGGCATCTCATCAGCCCTGTTTATGAGACAGGGTCTCAGTGTAGGCAGCATCCAACTCACTATGTAGCTGAGGTTTTCCTTGAACTCGTGGCCCGACTACCTCCCCTGGTCCAGTCACGGGCAACACTACCATACCTGACACTGTGTGTTTCAACTACCCAAGCCACCATTCTGTCCTGGACCTGCTCTGTGACAACTTCCTCCCTTGATCTACATGAGTGAGGGCTCTGCTGGGACCATCTCAGACTCACCTTTGAATCCAGCCATTCCTCTATGGAACCTTTAGAAAACACCACATGACACCTTCAATCCCAGCACTCAACAGGCAGAGACAGAGGCAGGTGGATCTCTAAGTTCAAGGCTGACCTGGTCTACAGAGGGAGTTCCAGAACACCCTGGAATAAACAGAGAAACAGTGTCTTGAAAAACAAAACAAAACAAAACAAAACAAAAAACACTCCACACAGCCCAGTTGTCAGTGAGGTCAACTGCCCTTCAAGTCTCCTGAGCCCAGCACTGGTCCTATGCCAGGCTATCTTCCAGCTGCTCCTCCTCTGCTGTAACCATTGTTCTTGGCAGCCTCAGGCTGAGGCAATGATGCACCCTGGTGGGATCTACTACACCAGACAATGTCCAATTTGGAGCTTTTATCACCCAATAGCATTAAATGAAGTAAGACCACCCCATCTCATTTCCCTCCACCCTTCTCAGACCTGCAGGCTGCAAGAAAACCCTTCAGGCTGTCAGGCAAGGCCAATCTCAGGCTGCTGAGTCCAAACCTAGCTTAGCAGCCCAAACTCATCCCCCAAAGCTCCTTACTTCTCTCTCCTTACTCTCTGAAAACTGTCACCACAAGACTCAGCAGCCACCTCATGTCCCCACTCTGCCTTCCCTTAGGTGATGCCAGGTCTCATGGCTTCTCCTTGGGTTTGTGTCACTCTGCCAGGGTCACACACAGGCTGACACACAGAGAGCATGTCCCTAGGGTAAAGTCTATGAGTTGGACCTCAGGCCCTTACTGAAACAAAGAACAACCAGAAGTGCTTTACAAGTCCCTCTTTCTCTCCCAGGTGATTAAACAGGTCCTGGCCCGGACCAGCAGTGGGGGCTTCTGCGGGAACGATGGCTTCATGCACATGACCCTGTCCAGCCTTCCTTTTGGAGGAGTGGGTAGGTGGCAGCAGAGCTCTGCGCTCCTGGGCTGATCCACGGCTGCATCCCCAATCTGTGCTCAACACACTAACTGCAGAACATGCAGCCCACTTTCAGGGCAGTAGACATGACTATCCCTCTAGCCTGTCTCCATCCCCCCTACAGTCTGTGGGGACACTAGCCTACGTCCCACACTCTACAGTCTGTGGTGGTACCTTCCAGGTGTGCTTGCACTTAAACATGTGGGTGAGAACCCACAGAGAGATAATTTTGGTGGGTTTTGTAAAAAAGACACTAGTTGCCTCCAGCCACTGAGCTCCCTGACTTTTCCCCAGTCACCTATTCACACAGAGTCCTGGTGCCTTCAATATCACAGCAGGGCCAGATGATGCTCCTTCAGCTTTCCCAGGTCCCTGAGAACCCAGCTCTGGGCATCTCTGCTTCTAGAAGGCCTAGGATGTAGAGATGCCCCCCCCACACACACACACAACTGCAAACTTCACAGCTGCATCCCAGCAAGTAAGCCCCACAGGCATGTGACTCAGGCAGCCACTTCTTTGAACCTGCTTCCTCACTGAAAGCGTCCCGTTCCTTCTACCTGGTCACACTCAGTGTTGGAGTGACAGCATGGTCTGGCCAGTCCTGGTCTTGCGCTGGAGTCCTATTCCAGCCCCCCTCTCTTAGTGTGCTGTGGCTGTTACTGAGCTTGGTCCTGACTTGTTACCCACCTTCAAGGCTAAGTTGTTCCCAAGCCTGAGCCCCCACCCTCTTTTCCACCCACACTCTATCTGGCTGATTCTACACTCCTTCCATCAAGACAGCTTCCTTACTCCCAACTCCATCTGGGCCATGCCCCCTGCACTCTCTGGGCTGTCCTTCTCCCTTCCCAGACACAGGGAACCACACAGGTTTGAAGATGTCTACCACAGCCTAAGAGGAGGGTGCCACTGCCATGGGGGGGAGCCTGAGGCAGTCATTTGCCCAAAGTGATATACCTATGTAGGTCAGGGCTGGGATTCAACTTTGGGCATCCTGGCTGGAGAATTCATACCCTTGACCTCAGTTTGCCTGTCCCACACCAAAACCTGGCATACTGGATTGGGGGCAGGGTCAGGGATCAGCCTTCTATCCATAATGTCTTAAGACTAACCCAATGGACAGATGGGAAAAGAAAGGCTCAGAGAGCCCACCTGTTAAAGTCTATGTGATGTCCCCTCATCTGGCCATTAACGACCTAAAATCCCATGTTCCATGCTGTCCACAGGATCGAGTGGGATGGGCAGGTACCACGGCAAGTTCTCCTTTGAAACCTTTTCCAACCAGCGTGCCTGTCTCCTGCGCAGCCCGGGGATGGAGAAGATCAATGACCTCCGTTACCCGCCTTACTCCAGGAGAAATCTCAGGGTGCTCCTGGTGGCCATGGAGGAGAGAAGTTGCAGCTGCACGCTGCTGTGAGGGTTACTGGAGACCGAGGAGCCCTCCCTGGGACACAGATACTGGGGGAGTGGCCTGCTAGGGCCCAGGCCACAGAGCAGTTTGCTCAGCCCTCCTCCTGGGGCTTCCCTTTTGGGGCCTTTGACTGTTCTGGCTGGTATAGGCTTAGGGTGGGAATGTGAGAAGAGGCACTGTGACCTATCTCCCCCAGTGCTAGCCATGGAATCAGGGAGAAACAGGCTCTTCTTTGGATGTTGTTGTAGGTAAGCTGTGGTATCAGCCTCAGTTTCCTATCTGAACAATGTGGATGAATTAACAGCCTGTGGTCGCTGGGAATATTAAAATAGGAGGGCTGACCCCGAGCTACAGGTGTCTTGTCTCTTTGGAGTGAGAGGTCGCCTGCATGTTAAGGTTAAGATCCCTCCCTCAGCGACTCCTCTCCTCTCCCCTCAGTTCTGCACATTCTACTCAGGGGTAAACATTCTACCAGTCTCAGCCCTATGCTCCATGGGATAGAGCTTCCAGCCACCAACTGCTAAAACTCAGAATTTTGACATCCCGCCTCCTCTCACGGAGCAGTGTTTGACCAAGTCAACATGTCCTTCCTGACCTGCCAGATTCATCCAGCTTAGGCACCGCCTCCTAAAGGAAGTCTTCCCTGACCACTCCAAACAAGACATGCAGATTGCCTCATGGCTCTCTCTAGTCACAGGGTCTGACTTATGGAAAAGTCCTGCTATCCGCGGTTGTTAGCAGGACCAGAAGAAACCTTGTGGCTAAAGCGCTTAGACCTGCAGTCTAAACGGCCGCAGTATTCAAATGAGCCACACCGCCATGCCCCGCCCACCGGGAACCATGCCAGTCCCAAACCACACCCAGGAAGTCCCGCCTTCAGCCGCTCAGAAGTCTCGCGTACTAACCTCTCCAATACAATATGGCTGCTCCCTACAAAACTTCAAGCGCCTGTTTTCATCAGCCAATCAGAGAAAACTTAGTTCTGGTCCCGCCTCCCACAGTCGTACCACAGGCCAATCAGCCCACAGTAGGAAAGGAAACCAGAAAAAAAAAATAAAGGCGTGAGCAGCCCGCCCAATGGTAGCATCCTGAAGTTAAGCTCCGCCCCCTGGCTGAACCGCACCTGCGCCAGGGAAGGAGCCGGCGCGCTTCAAGGTGGGTGTCCAGGGCAAAACGGCGAACACAGGGCCTGTGTGGTGTGACGACGGGGTCGAACGTGGTGTCACCGCTCACTCCGTGAAGTGTGGGATCCGGCGGGCGGGTCGGCTCGGTACCCGTGGCCTCTGCGTCCCTCTGCGGGCTGCAGGGTTAGGAGGCCCGCACCTTCAGGCGCATGCGCTGCCTTGCCGGATGCGTCCTGAGACCGTAGGGTCAGAGGTGAAGGGGAAGGTCTGAGAGAAAGTGGTAGGTTGGGCTCCAAGATTGCCTGGGGTCACGGGTCGAGGATTGGCTGACCCGTTAGAGGTCAAAGGTCACGGGAGGGGCTCTTTGGAGCGTTGGTAAAGTGCCAAAGTGCTAGGTTCTCGACCAACATCACCTCGGTTGCATATATCCCTAGTTTTTGCCTCCCTCCCTCCCCCGCCTATATCGAAGGGCAAGAAGTCTGAAGCCAGGGGACATCACTTGCCCAAGGTCACTCGGCAAGCTGGGGAGAGTTCCAGCAGGTCCTTGGATTGAGGGGGGAGACTTGACCCTGAGTTTATTTAAACCATTTAGGTTTTTCTGCAGGTGACTTCTGGATTGCTGTCCTGGTTCCAGTGCCACTAACTTTGGGGCAGTCACTTAACATGTCAGGATGACAGCTTTTGACATCTGGCATGAAGCCTAGCTCAGGGTTAACTCAGAACACCGGGGATGGTGGTCATGGTGTGAATTTGGTGTGAATTACAGCTGAGAAGTAGAAAGGGGGGGTGGTTTAAATGAGCTTCTTAGGAGCTTAGAAGGAATGTGGGGTGCCAGGTGAGTCTCAGCAGAGTGAGGTCAGCTTGAGGATTGGGGTGCTGGTCTCACCTGGGTTGGGGTGTGAGTGGGTCTCGAGGAGGCCAGATTTGACCCTTCACCTCCCTTCCTTTCCATGCTCCACTGCAGATGTATCGTCTGACCTCATTGATGCTGCCGCGGGCCTGGGCCCAGGCCATGCACACAGGTACGACCAGGGAGCCTTTCCTGGGGTTGGGGGACAAGCTTTCTGGTATGAAGTCACAGAAGCAGAGTGTCACCCTTCTTGCAGGACATCTCAGTGGCCGAAGCCTCCATAGCAGTGCAGTGGCAGCAACCTACAGTGAGTACCAGATGGTGTCTTCTGACTTGAGCTTTCCTCATCACGGTCAGACCTGAAGCCAGGGAAACTGCCTTGCCAGAGACTCTCTTTGAGCTTTAGTTTCCACTGTGAAAATGAAGGTGTGACCAAGAGAGAATGTGACTCTTAGGCATAGTGGTGGCGTTTGGGGAGGGAGGCGTGTGCTGGAGAGGAGATGCTAGACCCACTAGGGAGACCCACGAGCCTTATATCCTGAACTTGAAAGGCTTTATTTAGGGGATCTTTGGGTTAACTGGGCAGAAAGAGGACTGGCAAAGCTTCCCAGGGCTGCAGACTGACTTCCCTCACTAAGAGCCCACCGCCTGCCTGCTGTACCTAGGGCTGAGAGTTGAGCCTCATCTTCCAGAGCCAGATTCCTTAGCCTCCTGTCATGACTTCCACAGAGTATGTGAATGTACAGGAGTTTGAGATGGACATGAAGTCCGCGACTGACCATGCAGCTCGGACTCTGATGTGGACAGAACTATTCCGAGGTAGGTGCCTGTGGGGAGAGGTGGGAGTCAGACATGGATGTGCTGGGGAGGAGAGAAGCCCTTAGCCAGCTTTGTGCTACTCACAGGACTGGGCATGACCCTGAGCTACCTCTTTCGGGAGCCTGCCACCATCAACTACCCATTTGAGAAGGGACCACTGAGTCCACGCTTCCGTGGAGAACATGCATTGCGCCGCTACCCATCTGGGGAAGAACGCTGCATCGCCTGCAAACTCTGTGAGGCTGTCTGTCCTGCACAGGTAAGCTCTGAATCTGACCCTACCTTGATTCACATCCCTGGGAAAGTCCCTTTCTCTTTTCCTTTTGAGACAGTCTCACTAACTAGCCCTAGCTGGCCTTTGTAGACTAGGCTGGCCTTGAACTCACGGAGATCTGCTTGCTTCTGCCTTGGAAAACTAAGATAAACGCATGCGCTGACAAAACATGACAAAAGTCAACCCTGATTGGGTGAGTGGGACAATGAGTCCTTGATGTGTAGGTGCTGAGTTAGGAAGCCAGTGGTGGCCTCCATCTCAAGCACGCCCTGTGGCTTACCCATATCATACCCTAGGAGTCAGTATATCGTGTAATATTTGGGCTCAGGAGCCATGGGGTGGTGTCAGGCAGTCCTGTCTGTATGCCCATCTTGGCTTTGAGCCAAGGACATGCAGCCAAGGCTCCTCGGGGCCCTGGCCTTTGTGCTCATTGGTGCTGTGTGGACCATCTGAAGCTGGGGCTGTTTGTAGAAACAGAAAGGTACAGAGGTGGCTTTAGTATAACCAGCAGGAGCCCCAGCAGGTGCAGCCTTAAGACCTGCCGTTCCTAGCTCCAGCTTCTGGGTATGCCCCTGGGAGTTCCCTAACAGCAGCAGTGGTGACAGGCATGGTCATTCCTCATATCTGTCCTGTAACTGCAACAGTAGCCAGGGTGAGATTTTATTCCCATTACTATAAACACAAAAAGATGGGCCTCCTGAGGAGTCACTGTGGGTAGTGAGCATGCCACTAGGGAGTGTCAAGTTCCTTAACAGTTCTCCAGGCCTGTGGGTTTGAGGCTCTCCCTTTTTACTCTTGGCTGGCATACAGCTATCCCCAGAAACCAACAGTTAAAGGTATACCTTCACATTTGGTGTATGTCCCTCATTACTGTGAGGACATCCTTTTACCTTTCTTGAGTTTTTGTTTTGTTTTTTCGAGACAGGGTTTCTCTGTGTAGTGTTGGAGGCTGTCCTCTGAACTTGCTCTGTAGACCAGGCTGGCCTCGAACTCACTGAGATCCACCCGCCTCTGCCTCCTGAGTGCTGGGATTAAAGGCGTGTGCCACTGACGCCTGGCTTGACCTCTCTGAGTCTTAATTTTCTCCAGCAGATTGAGATCCATCAGCATGACAGTAATTGGGCATTTACTATCTCAGGGGACATCTTAGGGCCACCAGTTTCCTTTTTGTTGTTGTTTTGGTTTTTTGAACCAGGGTTTCTCTTGACTGTCCTGGAACTTTCTTTGTAGACCAAATTGGCCTCGAACTCACTTGCCTCTGCTTCCCAAGTGCTGGGACTAAAGTTGTACACCACCGCTGCCTAAGCTTAGGTTTTCAAGGAGCAAAGCAGATCATAGCCTTTTCCGTGTGAGACAGGAGGGTCACCCGGGCAAGCAAAAACCTGGCAGAGACTAATGGGGCCATGTGAAAGGTGGCCCCTATGGCAGGTTGAGGATGTGAGGGGCAGACCCAGGGCCAACAGGTGTTTGCCAGTATGACAGTGACCTGTGGCCACTCCCTCAGGCCATCACCATTGAAGCTGAGCCAAGAGCCGATGGCAGCCGCCGGACTACACGCTATGACATCGACATGACCAAGTGTATCTACTGCGGTTTCTGCCAGGAGGCTTGCCCTGTTGATGCCATTGTGGAAGTAAGTGGGTCTGGGTGAGGTGGCTAGCACAGAGGCTCCTGGGAGGGCATTGCCTTGCTGACTGTCCACCCTCTTGCAGGGCCCCAACTTTGAGTTCTCCACCGAGACACATGAGGAGTTGCTGTACAACAAGGAGAAGCTGCTCAACAATGGGGACAAATGGGAGGCTGAGATCTCTGCCAACATTCAAGCTGACTACCTGTACCGGTGACCCGGCCACTTGGCCCAGTCCTGAGGCCCCTGCTGCCCATAAAGAAGCTATTACCCCACAACTGCCTATTGTGTTGTATCTGTTTGCTAGGGTGGAACCCACCCCACACAGCCAGTAGCCTGTGGCTTCCTCTGGTCAGACGAGATGTGCATGGACCCTTGGCCTTGTTCCCTCAAGGGTTCCAGAAGCTTGCATGCCCACAAGACCAAACAGAGCCCAGACCCAGTCATCCTCTGTGATTCCCAGTCCCAGCAGGCCTCTTTTGTTGGCCACAGAACCTAGAACCATGTCAGACGTCTTCTAGGCTTTCCCCCAGCGCCTGGCAATGCAGGTCACCATGGTGTTGGGTGTCTGAGAAGTGGGCCCTAGGTGTTTTATCTTCTCAGACATCCTTGCTACAGACTTGGGGCCTTCCCAAGCTTCAGGCCAGAGTCCATCAAGAGCCTCGGGAGGAGGCTGGGTAGAAGGCTCAGTGAGTAAAGTGTTCCTATCCTGAGACTGCACATGAAAGGCGAACATGGTCACATGTCTGTTACCCTCTGCTGGGGTGGAGTCAGGTGGATCCCAGGCCTCACTGGCTAGCCAGTCTCATCAAAACAGCAAACTTCAGCTTCAGTGAGAGACCCTGTCTCAAAAATGACTAAGGTGGTGGGCAACCGAGGAAGACATCCTGTGGTCTACCTGAGCCTTCCACATGTGCTTGCACAGGGAGTGTGCCTGTACTACACACAGCCTCATAAAGGCCAGGGTGAAGCCTGGCAGTGGTGGTGCACACCTTTAATCCCAGCACTCAGGAGGCAGAGGCAGGCGGAGGCAGATTTCTGTGAGTTCAAGGCCAGCCTGGTCTACAGAGTGAGTTCCAGGACAGCCAGGACTGTTACACAGAGAAACCCTGTGTGTGTGTGGGTGGGGGGAAGCCAGGGTGTCTGTTGTCTGTTGGGGAACGGGAAGCTTGCTATAGGGTGACAGTCACAAGGGAATGACACAGGTTCTGCTGCCTCTGAGCTGGCCTTGTCTCTTGCTACATCCCCTTTGTCCACTAAGTTCCCCACTCAGGCTGCTGTGTGGATTCAGCTTCCCAGTTTGTAGTCCCAGCCAAGCTCTGTGGTTCTTCTCACTCCTGAATGGGTCTTCCATGGATGCACACACACTGGAAGGCTGGCTGCTGGGTTGGTTTTCATGATCGAAGGCACACTTCTACTTCAGTGCAACTATGACAGCTCTGTGGCCCTGTCCCTCCACACTGAAGAGCACTGACCTGTGACCCCTGGTGTTCTTATATGAGGGTCCTTCTCACACCAAGTCAGGTCAGACCTGTGACGCACCTCTGTTTTCTGAGGATGCCCATCTTGACTGACTCAGTTTCCAGGTAGCCCTAGGCTTCTACTCTATACCACACACACACCAAGGCCCTTGTTTACTGTGTGGGGTCCAAGGATCATCAGAGCTAAGGGGCCCCTTGTCCCTTTGATCCCAGTGAGTACAGTCTATCTTGTCCAAAGTGCATGCAGCTGAATGGTCCTGAATCCCAGTTTCCAGACACAAGGACTTCAAGACCAGAAGCTCCTGGAGAGTCTCCTGGCCTCCTGGGTGCAAGTTCCTCAGCAGAGACTGGCCTGACAAATGGCCTGCTGCCAGGGAGAGGTACCCAAAGAGTAGGGCAGCCATGGCCCAGCCTCACCCGTACACGGACTGGGCTGAGTGAGATGGGTTAACAACAGAACTTGGACACCAGACTGTGTATACTAGGAGCCATCAGGACGTAGCTCTAAAAAGGGAAGGGAAGGTGGCCTAGCCCTAAGATCCCATTTGGCACCCCGGTTGTCGGTTATCTTCCAGTCCGGGATACCTAGAATCATCTCAGTCGCCGCCTTCCTCCCAGCCCCTCCTCCTAGAACTCAGCGGGGGCGGGAGAGGACGGATAGGGGGCGTGGCATCGTACACCACTCCCACTCCTAGTCTTTCCGAGCTGGACTAAGCTGCTCCTGCCGGCTGGCGGGCTTAGAAACTTACTAAGCCAGAGCCGAGCGACGTGTCCACCAGGGTGAGTGTCCTGCGAGACTGAGAGCCTTAACCCGGCCCGCTACCTGCTTCTTTGCCCGGACAGGGGTTCAGGCACCCCGCCCGATTCCGGGTGGAGGAAGCTCAGAGGCCACGCGCCCGTTTCAGGCCGTATGGGGTGCAGGCAGGCCGCAAGGAGGAGCAGGAGGATGGATTGGTTGCTAGCTCTGGGCAAGTTCGGAGTCCACCTTACCAGGCCTGAACTCAGGGAGCCCCCTGCTGCATCTGGGTCGAAGTGAAGGACCCATTCTACAGATGAGGAAACAGAGGCCGCCCAACTAGGAAGTGGCGGGGCTCGAGGTGAATTCCAGTTCCTCTCCTTATGCTGTCATCCTCCAAAAGGCAGGGATTGGGAGAAGAGGTGTGGGACTGAAGGAAGGGCCAAGAAAGGGATGCAGGAGTGAAACAGAACTTAAGGGCATCCAGGGAAGGCTGGAGCACAAGCGGTGTGTGTGGGTCTAGCCCACAGATGTCCTGCTGCTGCAGGAGACAGGAGCTATTAAATCAGTGCATGGTGTGGACTGGAGGGGGCATGGAGGTGCTTTCATCTGTCTTGTTTATAGATGGCTGGTGCAGCCCGGTGGTTTTGGTTATGATGCTGGAACTGATGAGAATATGAACAGGTCTGGGACAGACCTCTCTGGTTTGATCCTCAATGACCACGTGACCTTAGACTTCACCTTACTCAACCTGAATTGATAAGGCTGGGGTGGGTCTGTGTGGTGGTGGTGGAGCTGGTGACCCACGCCTTAATACCAGAATGGGGTGGGAGGTGGAGGCCCAGAGGCAGACAGATCTCTGAGTGTGAGGCCAGCCTGATCTACATAGTTAGTTCTAGGACAACCACGGCTATTCATAGAAACTCTGTCTAGGAAAAAAAAGATAAGGCAGGGGTGCCAGCCAGTGGTTCGCATGGTGGTGTTTATAGAAGACATAATGAGGGTTCTAGTCTTTTGTTCACCTCCCCACTCACATCTTACCTTTCCTACCAGGGGTGGTCAAGTCTTGCTTTTTTTTGTGGGGGGGGGGCTTCAAGACAGGATATCTTTGTGTAACAGCCCTAACTATCCGGAAAGTCTGTGTAGACCAGGGTGGCCTTCAGCTCACAGAGGTTCTCCTGCCTCTGCCTCACCAGTTCTGGAATTGAAGGTGTGCGCCACCACTGCCTGCTCAGCCAGTTCTTATTCAATGAAAAGGAACTATAGGCCCAGAGAGGGCAAGTGGCTTACTCAGTGTCACACAGTTGATCACAATCTGGGCAAGACCCTAGAGACTTGGTCCCTGGCCCTCTGCTCTGTGGTAGAGCCATGGTCTTGGATGATGGCTCCCAGTCCTTCTTGCCCATCCTTGCCTGGATCTTCTAAAGTTCTCGATCACTCTCGGAATTCTTTCTATTCTCAGGCTAGGGACAGGACTGTGGTTTCCTCTTAAGAAAACCAGGCCTTGGGGAGGAAGTGGGTGGCCTCTGGGCAGGCCCAGACGGCAAGCTGGGACCGTTAACATGTAAAGTTCCCCTCAATGGCATGCTGAGGAAACTGTCCCACCAAGACCCTGAGCCTGAGCATAGATACAGAGCAGTAAGGGGTCTGGGGAGACTGTTGGGGGATCTGTAGGATCCACTGGAGTCCACTCGAGGCAGGAAATGTCTGTGCCTGCTGGGGCTGGAGCCAGGCCTTCCTGGTCATTGTTTCACACTTTCACTTTCATGGTTTCAACACCAAGACTGTTCCCAGCCCCACAGGCAATGCTGGCAAAAGCAAGAGGACACTCCACTCCCGCCCCTGTGTGTGGAGGGAGGGAGGCTGCACAGTTCAGCTGCACTGGGTGTCAGTTGTCACAGCCTGGGGACTGCAGCCCAGGATCGCAGGGATAAGCTGGGTCTAGAGCGAGGACAGGTAGAGAGGTGGTACAGTGGGCAGAGCCAGTGTGTCTGGCAGCTGCTGGGCTGGACTGGGGCAAGGAGGCCATGGGAAGCTAGCTTAGAAACAGCCTATGGTAGGCTGTGGGGTCATTGGCCTGCTCTGTTGACTTTCTGTCCACCTCCATACCCATTATCCCTTGCTAGGCCTCAATTTCCCCATCTGTCCTGTGATTGGCCACAGGTATATGGATGCCTACCTGGAGCAGGCTCCTGACCAACCTTTTTGCCTATCTTAAGGATCATGGGTTCCATGTTCCGGAGTGAAGAAGTGGCCTTGGTCCAGCTCTTGCTGCCCACAGCGGCTGCCTACACCTGCGTAAGCCAGCTGGGCGAGCTGGGCCTTGTGGAGTTCAGAGATGTGAGTAGTGACAGAGCCCTGGGCAGGTAGCCCACATCCAGGAGGGCCCTGAGATAACCCCTGACCCCCTGCTGGAGCTTCCCAGCCCCTCCCAACACAGGAGCTCTTTCCATGCCTACTGATGCCCTCCCTGGCATGGGGTTGAGCCTGCTGCAGTTAATCTTCAGACTAATTGGGCACCCAGCAATGTTTCCAAGGAGGTGCCTCAGGCCTGGACCCCGGAGCAGCTACCTCCTGGTCCCCTCCCTGAGACTCTGAGTCCTCTGTGCATTCTTCACAGCTCAACGCATCAGTGAGTGCCTTCCAGAGGCGGTTTGTGGTAGATGTCCGGCGCTGCGAGGAGCTAGAGAAAACCTTCAGTAAGTTGGGCCCAGGCCCATATTCCAGGCTAGATTCCCAGAAGGAACACTGGGCAAGCTTGGTCTGAAAGGCAGAGAAGGGAGATGCAGGCTGAACAGGCAAGAGCTGCTGGGCTCTGGGTGGGTGGAGTTGAGGACCTAAGGCGGGGTGGCTTGGAGTAAGTCCACAACCCAGAACTTGTGCTGTGGATGGCAGGAAACGAGGCACAGACTGAGCTGGAGTCGAGGGCTGGGCAGCTTCTTCTTAGGCCAGAGATGAGGCCAGGGCAGAGGAGCAGAGCTTCCAGGACAGCAGTTTGACCTGGAGTTTTTCTAGATCTCTGACTCAGTGGATTAGTAATAGCATTTGACGA